TCACGGGGGGGCGCTGCCGACAAGCAGCGGCCCCCCTGGAAGGCCCTGAGACTAACCCCCTCTGTTGAGAGTGCCGTGTGTGTCACAGAGGTCCCTGCTGAAGGAGCCGGGGGCCCGGAGGGTCACCCGGTGGGCACGGAGCCCGCACCCAGGAGCCCGATGGGATGCTCTGCCCCACCCAATCAGATCCAAGAGGACGTCGGCTGTTGCGTTCCCTGGCCTGGACAACGAAGAGCTGCGACAGGCCCAGCAGCGGGACCCGGACCTGTCGGCGGTGGAGGCGGCCCTCCGTGGGTTGTACTCCCGGTTGTGGGTGAAGGATGGGGTGGTGCGGGAACTAGCTGAAGCCGGGCAGCCGGGGTGCATGTGTTCCCGCCCAGGTGCGGCCCCAGCTGCTACAGCTGTTGCATGACCACCTGCTCAGGGGCCATGATGGGGAACAGCGCACTCGGGAGACCCTGCGTCGCCAGTATCTCTGGCCCAAACTGACACAAGATGTGGCCGCCTGGGCACAGGGCTGCCGCGCTTGTCAACAGTGTGGGCAGAAATCGGCACGGTATCAGGTGTCCCTGAGGCCATTCCGCGTCAGCCGGGTGAACCAGTTCGTTGGGTGGACCTACAGGGGCCATTCCCACGGTCCGACCTAGGCAACCGGTACATTCTCGTACCGGTAGAGTATTTTACGCGCTACCCAGTGGCAGTGGCCATCCCCAATAAGACGGCCCTTGTGGTCGCCCCGGGCATTTGTTGAACATTACGTGCTCAAGCACGGGATCCCCGTGCGAGTCATTACCAACCAGGGTAGTGAGTTCGAGGCAGAGCTATTTCAGGCACTGTGCCGGGAGTTCGGAATCCAGAAGGACCGAACCACTGCATACCACCCCCAGGAAAATAGTACGGTGGAGTGCATGAACCAGACCTTGGCTGGAAAGCCCATGACCCTTGCCCCAGTGCCTCCGCCCTGCCAACACACCTGAGCACACGCTGACCAGCGTGTGTACTATCTGTCCACACAGTTGCCGCTGCTGTCCAGCAGCCGGCGCTATTACACTACAAATGTAATGAATAATGAACATCAATATATTTTTTTAACCAATTGTCCATTTTGTGAGGTATATCATAACCGGCGAGTAACTCCAAGCGAATATAAAAACATTTCTACGTATGCCCCGCTTGCATGAGGTAATGTGTTCACGCCCGTTACTCTTGTAAACCAACATTGTTCATGATCAATGCGTTTAGAAAGGTTTTTTATATCATACTATGTTATACCATATTGATTAAGATGTTGTGGTTATATTGACAGATTCATACATGATCATTCAAAAATGACTCTCGCGTATGATATAATTTCATGACATTTATAAATCACCTCACGTACCCCCAGGGATTTGCTTACCCACAGTTGAGAACCGCTGCTCCATATAATGTGTGCTATAACGATGACTCGAACACAGGTTCTTTGGGTAAGGCTCAGATGAGCGAAACTCTTTAATGTGTGTAATCTTGTAAAATCACTCAGATTGACACGTTGTAACAGGTCATCTGCTTACACTTTATTAGTCCATTCTTGCACCAGTTGTAGGCAATTCTATCACTGTCGCTACGGTCGCTTCTGTTAACCAATGCCCACCCTTATCTACGCTACACGTCGATAACCTGCAGACATTAGACGTTGCTCTCAGCAGCTCTGCACTCAAGGCTCCACACACAGCAGCGCTCATACAGAGGCTTGCACACAGCAGCGCTCATACAGAGGCTTGCACACAGCAGCGTTCATGCAGGGGCTTGCACACAGCAGCGCTCACACAGAGGCTTGCATACAGCAGTGCTCACACAGAGGCTTACACACAGCAGCGCTCACACAGAGGCTTGCACACAGTAGCGCTCACGCAGAGGCTTGCACACAGCAGCGCTCACACAGAGGCTTGCATACAGCAGTGCTCACACAGAGGCTTGCACACAGCAGCGCTCACGCAGAGGCTTGCATACAGCAGTGCTCACACAGAGGCTTGCACACAGTAGCGCTCACGCAGAGGCTTGCACACAGCAGCGCTCATGCAGAGGCTTGCATACAGCAGTGCTCACACAGAGGCTTGCACACAGCAGCGCTCACACAGAGGCTTGCACACAGCAGCGCTCACACAGAGGCTTGCACACAGCAGTGCTCACACAGAGGCTTGCATACAGCAGTGCTCACACAGAGGCTTGCACACAGTAGCGCTCACACAGAGGCTTGCACACAGCAGCGCTCACAAAGAGGCTTCCACACAGCAGCGCTCACACAGACTACGTTCCCTAAGACCCACTCACTCGTCCGACCCGGGCGGGGGGATCAACCATCACCCGCCCGGCGACTCGTGAGGGCTGAGGTCCATTCTCGGCAGTGGCGAGACGTCTTCTCTCTCTTGCGCCCCGCAACACGAACTCTCGCTCTGCTCTCAAACACGTCCTTATATCCCCCTGCCAATTGTCCAGTTCCTCCCTTGTGTCTCTTTAGGGCCAGACAGGCTGGCACCTGTCAGGCCATCAATCACCCCTTATCGCACGTCTCCCTGGCAACACCTCCGGTGTCAGCGTGCAACCCCGGGCCGACCCAGTCTGCACCTGCTTCTCATGTTGCACACGTGCACGTGTTTGTCCTCGGTTGCCCTCGGCCAACAGTGTGCACCACATTTCACCACACTATATGTGTACAAAATGTATCAGTTTAATTATATTATAAGCGTATTCGTGAGTAAAATTTTCACATTAATACACGACAGCATTCGTATAGACTCAATATGATACCTGCATCGGGAGCTCATCTCAATCACAACTTACCTGGCCAACACCAGAACATAACTGACAACCAGTTCAACACGCAGTAAGCTTTCGCGACCAATATTTTTCATAATCAAGGGGCTTTTTTTTGGGCTAGATCGTGTAAATATAAATGTGTCGTTAACCCACCACCACCCGACACCATCAATTAGTAAGGTTTGTCATGTAAACAAAACGTGCCAATTAGTTACTACTTCAGCCCACCGGTGTGTTGGAAATGAAACTACCCAGCGGTTTCCGATGGGTACGTCTTTGAATATAAGAAGTTGAATCGTCAACAAATGAGAACCATTGTTCTTTCTTTGTTTTTGAGATATTTCGGATTCAAACGGTTTTGAACGAAAAAATATGCAGTTTATGATATTCAAACCTGAATAATTCGAAAACGGTATGGATGCCATAGGTGTGGCTCGTTTTATCACCTTGAATGGGCGGTCCAAGATGATGTGTCCCCACTGCCAACGCCGTATCTCCACGTTACTTTTTTATTTTTTGACCCTACGTCTATCTAGCGTTGGGATCGGCAACCCTTTCAAAGAACGAGAGCAGTTTATTTAGTTTTGGTCTTTGATCAAAATAGTTCAGCTGCATCACACGCACAGCTGCTGCGTGTACACAAACAGCCACTGGTATACAGCAGGCGACACCAACATCAACACATTCTGACTTAAACTAAATAGGTGATGCGTTATTCTTCAACAATAACAGTTTGTGACTGTTGTACATTTTGTCGTCACCAAGACATCCCAAAGTGACCCAATTCCCTGCCATATTTAATACATTATCTTCACGTGAAATTATGCTTAAGATTTAAGGAAAAAAAGGCTGCCCGCAAAGGGGGCAGTCAAAGAGCTGCAAGGAGGCAGCCAAAGAGCCGCAAGGGGGAAATCAAAGAGCCGCACGGAGGCAGTCAAAGAGCCGCAAGGGGGCACTCAAAGAGCCGCAAGGAGGCAGCCAAAGAGCCGCAAGGGGGCACTCAAAGAGCCGCAAGGGGGCAGCCAAAGAGCCGTAAGGGGGCAGCCAAAGAGCCGTAAAGGGGCAGCCAAAGAGCCGCAAGGGGGCAGCCAAAGAGCCGTAAGGGGGCGGCCAAAGAGCGGCAAGGGGGCAGCCAAAAAAACGCAAGGGGGCAGCCAAAGAGCCGCAAGGGGGCAGCCAAAGAGCCACAACAAGGGGGCAGCCAAAGAGCTGCAAGGGGGGCAGCCAACGAGCCACCGCATGCGGCTCCAGAGCCGCAAGTTTCCAATCCGTGACCTAGCGATATCTAGACTATTTAGTTTTCATTATTATCATGCTTGTTTACGTAGGAAAGCCTTAGAGTCTCAAGACTCTTTATCAGCAGAGTCCAGCCAAAGTTTAAGCAGTTGGGAGTGATGTTGCTGTTGCTATGACACGAAACCAGAGAAATCCGGAGGAAACCCATACAGAACATGGGGAGAAACACAAACTCTATGGAGAAAGATACTAGCTAGGTGGGGAATCAAACTAGGAGCTTGTTGCCAAGTGTTACCACTGCGCCACCCTTCCATCCAAATATCTATTCGAGGTCAAGTCAGTGACGTTCCGCTTTCAGAAGTTGACAGCAGGATTACAGAGTGGGTTGATTTGGTTGTGGGCAGTTTTAAATCTAGTGGCTGGGCAGTGTGACCGGCCTCTCAGGAACCCTGCTCTTGTTTTTTTGGGTGCCTGGCACACGATCTAACCCAAAAAAAACCTTTATTATGGATATTGGTCGCAAAAACGTGTTAAGCTGGCATCGGGACGGCTGCCATGACTGGTCTGTTGTTTCCTGGGGTTCCGAGCTGGCTGAACCACTTTGGGGCGCCACAGTAAGCGAGATGTAAAATACCTCGCCTGGTATACAAGAGGACGTGGGTACCTGCTGTATATTAGGAGTTGTGTGCATCTCTCCACATTTAAAATCACTTGTTTTGAGTATTTGGCTGCTATACATTTTCACGTGATGAGCCAGTTTGTTGAGCTATCATCTGTGGCCAGCTCGCTTCTGAAAAAGAGTGCCATAGCTCAGTGGGCCTTATCTGGTAAAATAAAAAAAAGTTTGTAATAGAGTAGCCCTGTACATGAGGAGTGGAGGGTACAGGTGTTGCTAACCCGAGGTAGTAGAACAGAATAGTCTTAACATTACAATTAAATTAATAGAAAGATTCCATGAAACATAATTTGTGTTTAAATGTCATTTAATTAGATTGGTTAGGACAGGGTAGATGCAATTATAACTTTAGTTACGGTAGATGAGCAGAGGAACACATGGGTGCGGCCACTTGGCAGCCATCTTGACGGCTGACTTATTAGATTCATTGAAGCTTTTTGCTCGATGAACACTGCACGTGAATGCAACATACTCGTTCATGGTAAAAAAAAACATTACAATGTTTAGCCATGCAAAAAAGTATACAGTTAATCATCATCCTCACAACTAGCGTGGTGAAGTATGGTTAAACTCCCAAGCATAACACACGGCCTGGGGAAGGCCTTATTCCAGCAGTAGCTTGACAATTAACCACGTTCTTATTTTAAGGAACAATCATTTGGCCCTAAATACTTCTGATATGGAGGACACTTGATGTACGCATCAAATCATTCACGACGGAATAATTTTCAATGTTACGTGCTTTAAATGTTTTTCTCCGTACCATCATGTCATCTATATAGCCTGACCACTATCGACTTAAGACGTGTTTCCCAATTCGTGACAGGTCAACTTTTGATTGTCTGGGGTTAACGGCGGTCAGAGTAAAATCCGGATAAAACGAATGCAAATTAGGGCATGCAAATCGTAATTGCGAAACTATACAAAATGTTAATGAAGAAGTAGTAATATTTGGAATTAATATTTTTATTGTTTCTTAATCAATTTATCTGCATAAATATTGTGCGGTCACGTGGGCAGTGAATAATGGGCCCGCGACGAGTTGCGGAGCGGCTCGTAAAACCAACGCACTTATAATGTGTAAATCTGCGACCCGGATAATCCACCCATGGATAATTGAGAGTTACCAGTGCATAGGCCCATCCATGGGGGTGGGAGGGCGTGCAGGGCCTGGGGCAAATCAAACTGTGGGTACAGCTGAATTTGCCCCAGGAAGTGTTAACGTCTGACACCGTGACGTCAAAGCATTGGGGGCGGGTCCCCAAAGTGCGGGGCCCGGGGCAGTCGCCCCGATTCACCGTGTATCCTAGGTACGGCTCTGCACATGCCTTTTAAGGGAATCAATCACTCCATTCTCATTACGTATAGTTAACAGGACACAGTTGGACAACGGTATTATACAAACAAATAACATTCACCACTCCTACCCTCACATCCGATTAGCACGGTTGGCTACGCACGGTGCGAAAGAAGTTCCACATACGTACATGCATACATCAATGGAGACAGAATTCGGACTCAGGGTTTGCACCCCAGAGTATGCGTTATTGCGTGACTCTTTAAAGTGTAGATCCGCGTGAAGCCCTTCCCGCACTCCTTGCAAATGTGCAGCTTCTCGCCGGTGTGCGCTCTCGTGTGCCTCTCCAAGTCGGAACGCTTCGCGAAGCCCTTCCCGCACTCCTTGCACACGTGCGGCCACTCTCCCGTGTGCGTCCTCGCGTGCCTCTCCAGGTCGGAGCGCTGCGCGAAGCCCTTCCCGCACTCCTTGCACGCGTGCGGCTTCTCGCCGGTGTGCGTCCTCGCGTGCCTCTCCAGGTCGGAGCGCTGCGCGAAGCCCTTCCCGCACGCCTTGCACAGGTGCGGCCACTGACCCGTGTGCATGACAGAATGCACCCTCAAACACTCGCGCCACGTGAACCCCTTCCCGCAATCCTCGCACACGTACGGCAACTCGCCGGCGTGCGTTTTTGCATGCTTCCCCAGATTGGAACGGTGCGCAAAGCCCTTCCCGCACTCCTTGCAGACGTGCGGCTTCTCGCCCCTGTGCAGTCTCAAGTGCGTCTCCAGACTGGCGTGCGTTGAGAATCCCTTCCCGCACTCCGTGCACACGTGTGGCCGCCCTCCGCTGTGCGTTCTGAAATGCGTGTTTAAATTTGAACGCGTCGAGAACGCCTTGCCACACTCTTTGCACGTGTGCCTCCTCCCACCGGTGGCGACGGTCGCCACACGCGGCGCGTCGTCTTCGAGTGACTCCCCGCACCGCCTGCAGGTTTGTGAGCTCGGTCCGCTGCATCTCGCTCCGTCCGTTTTCGCTCCGGAGGAACCGCCCTTCCCGCACGCCTTGCACAGAAGCCGCCTTCTTTCCGATTCATCTGCCATGCATTTATAAAAAATATAAATATATTAAATGCAAATGCGAGGTTCGATTAACCGCTGACGAAACTTTGTGGACGCCGGATGCCGTAACGCGTATGGACTCGGTTACGAGAAAACGTTGTCGAAAAACAAATTGACAAACAGTGGCGTCATCCTCCACGACCATTTTCTAAACGTGATTAATGATAAATATAAATGTCAATTATAAAGCACTTTCTGCAAAGTACTCAAGGCGCTATACACCACAATAAATCAACCAGTGCCCAGGGGGAGGAAAAACGAAGAAGTATTGGAGACAACTGTGAGAGCTGAAAGCAAGAAGCAATAAATGCACTTTGAGGACGTAGCGAGATGTTATCTCCCTCGCCTGGTATGCAGGAGGTCGTGGGTTTGATACCGACCCTGACACCTGCTGTATATTTGGAGTTTGCATGTCTTTCTCATCATCATCACGGTAACTAGGATATGTTATTTCCTAACGCCTGGTATGCAGGAGGCCGTGGGTTTGATCCCGACCTTGACGCCTGCTGTATATTTGGCGTTTGCATGTCTCTCTCCCTGGGGTCGCGTGTCCGGGTTCCCCCGGTTTTTCCATCAACATTTAAAACCAATATGCATTTAGAATATTTGGCTGCTATAAATTTCCACACGATAAGCCACTTTGTTGTGGGTCTTACTTGGTAAAATAAAAATAGTATAGTACAGTCTGTTCTCCTATAACGCTTGTTTTCAATATGCGAATTGGATATAAGACGATAATGCAGAAGTGCAATAGATACAACGCGATGGAGTGAACGGAACTACGTTGTGCGAGTAGGAATAAGTGGTCGTACGGCTGCCTCGGCGTCGTATCGCACAAGGCGGGATCCTGCTGGATGCTTCCAGATGCTAACCATGGCGCCTTAGTCTTTGTTCAGCCTGCGTTACGCATCTCGCGCGTTATCGCCGACTGTGCTTTACCCCTATATTCTATATTATTTATTATAACGCGATTTTTCATAACGCGGTGTTCCTCAGGAACGCAACGACTACCACGTTATAGGTAGAACAGACTGTATGTGTCGTATAAAACCACATCGCTGTTATCTCCGGAATCGTGACGACGCTGGGCAGAAGCGCTCGATGGACAAGGAGCAGCAACAACAGAGGGTACGGTCACCCAATGGGGAGGAGGAGCTGTGTTCGAGGAACACAAAGCCGGGAGAATGCCGGGGTTTTCCACTTTTGTGAGAGAACCGTTCACATTCAAAGGGGAAATCTTAAATTCAACTCTGAACTTCATAGGAAACCAGTGAAGAGAGGTCAACACCGGACGGATTTGTTCGCATGTCGGAGATTTTGTTTGTTAAGATTCTGGCAGCCGAGTTCTGGACGTGATATGAAATAATTGCTGGGAGAGTTTCATAAGCACATTTCCTCTGTCCACGATACAATAGACCGTCGATCATCCACGTGCGGTTTATCCGATTTGCAGATTAACCGCGCACCTGAGAAAGACTTAAATTAATAACTCACGGATTTTCTCTTGAGCCCAAATTAATAATCTAATAAGTTATATTTTAAAAAAAACCACGCTTTTATGAAATGTACTGTACTAGTAATGGAAGAACTCCACGACTCCAGGAAGTGGCCCTGAAGCTTGCCATAACGTAAGGGGCCGTGGCCAATTACAGCCAATGTGAGTTGAGCGTGGACAATTAGACCCAAGCCGAAACATAACATATAAAAAAATTATGTTTCAAAATAGATATCTTTCATTTTTAATGATAGAATATAGTATTGTCATCAGTATGGGAAAGTGGGTTAAAATTGAGTTACAAGATTTGAGGATACAACAGACAGTGAAATTTTGATTTAAAGCTTTCGTGACTGCAGGGATTCATATTCTTGGTTCTTTCGGTAAAGTCACGTAGAAGGGAAACAATATGTTTATTATTTTATTGTTTCCCTTCTACGTGACTTTACCGAAAGAACCAAGAATAACAGACTGAGTTAATGAAAAGCGTGTAAAAACAGTTATACCTTGTTGTACTTGGAAATGTTTATTATAAGTCATGCGGTGCTTAAACCAAACAATTAATGTTGCTAAGGTTAATCCGAATCCACGTGATCACCCCTACAGTACAGCAGCTGCAATATCTTTAAAACAGTGGGCGGAGTTTGATTGATGTTGATTGGTGTGACTCTTTCTGCACGGGAGCAGGAAAGTGTTATCACTAAGCAAGCGTATCGATTGGTTGGATTTTTCAAACCTGTTTAAGTGAGTGTTTTTTCATGGACTTTTGTAATAAAACAAGATAAATATATAATTTGTATCTATATTCATGGTTTTTGGCATAGAGATCCGTGGTAAATGGTTATATTTTTAGATTATCCACAATTTTGAATGATCCGTGGCAGTCCTCCCCGTCATTAGTGTGGATAATCGAGAGCATACTGTATGACCCCCATTATTAGCACAACTGGAATATAATCTGTGATGAAGCAAGGTAAGTTTTGCCTTTTTCTCTGCGATGCAATCCAAAGCAAACTCACCATCACATACGTCCCCGTCCGATAACTCCACCTCGATGAAGTTCTGATCTGGAGTGTCGGCATGCCCATGGGAATCCTCCGTTTCCTCCGGTCTCTCACTGGCGTCTTCAACTTGAAAGGAATTTGGATCCGGAACTGCAATTTATAAAAAAAAAACATTGTTTTTTACAGCATTGTTTTTCATATGTGGACGGTCTCGTACTTTCAAAACACGGCAGTTACAAAGGTCAGCCCATTACCCCGAGCACCGTGAGAATGATAGAACGTTGCGTTTGGTTGCGCCCTTTGAGTCTTAAGTGTTGAAAGTCACTGAATCGGAAGTAATACATTTGCAGCAAAGTAAACTTACACCACCACAGGTGCCATTTTGATCGCCAAATGTAAATAGAATCCCTCATCTCCTCTGATATTTCACTGGCTTCTTCAACTTGAAACGTATTTTGGATCAGGAACTGCACAATTATATACGTAAAATAAAATCCACTTATTGTATTAACCTACACAGGGAAAGTCTGATACACGTATATAAACAAGGTGGTTACGAAAGGTCAGCTCATTTATCCGACCACTAACGCATATATATCAATATTGCCCGAGTTGAGCTGTGTGAGCCCTGGGTGTTAGAATGCAAACATTTACAGGTAGTCCCCGAGTTACGATGGTCCGACTTGCGATATTTCGATCTTACGATGGTGACAGCGATACGACAAAATTGCCATCAACAACCTAACATCGTTCAAGTGTGCAGACGACGGACAGAATCTTGGCGAGTACAGTACAATAGGATATGCTGTGATACGTTCAACGCATGTAAGATACGTAGCATTAGAGATTTCATTTTAGGGTTACCACGATATGATACGTTCAATGCATGTTAAACGTTTTTTTATAGCAGATAGGATTGTTTTCTGAAAAAAACTTTCTATTAAAATTGCAGTTCATATAGGTAGGCTAAGAATTGACCTTGTTTTTTTACTTTACATTTTACTGTGCAATACAGTATTGTAATTAATAAATACATACAGTATATAGTTTATACAGTACGGTACTGTAAATTGCTGTTTTGCTCAATTATCACCATTCTTTAAGACTCCTGGGTAGGCTAGGCCATCTTCGACTTACGATATTTTTGACTTACGATGGGGCCGTCGTAACGCACCTCTGTCGTAAGTAGAGGACTACCTGTATTATAAATCATACAATAAAATGCATAGGATACTGGATATCTGTGAAAAAGAGCTTCATAGCTCATCGGATTCCTCCAGTATAAATATTCTGATTATATAAAGCCGCTTCCTCATTATACTTCGATTTTTTTATATCCCGCCTTATTTCGGTTCTTTGATTCTTGTTGATCGCCCCACCTTCCTATACGACAGGGCTCTTACCATCTTCATCGACTTCCGTTTTCACGATAATCCTCAGTATCTCAGTGCCCAGACTCTCTTCATCTTCTTGCTTCACAACTGTCCCTGCACACGTACGTTCACAATCAACTGTTACTGACGATAGCTGCTGAATCTGGCAGACATAGAGGTGTCTGGATGTATGTTAAGTATATACAGTCTGTTCTCCTATAATGCGAGATTAGATATATAACGCATTGAATGTATTATCGGGAACACATTTTTTTATAACGCGGATGTGAATTGGATACAACACGATTGAGTGAACAGAACTACGTCACACGAGTAGGAACAAGCAGTTGTATGGGTGTCTCGGCGTAGCATCACACAAGGTGGGATGCTGCTGGATGCTTATAGATGCTACCCACATGCCTCTGTTATTGTTCAGCTTGCATACGCATCTCACATCTTATCGCGGACTTTGCTTTCCTCCTATATTACAACGCAATTTTTCCATAACGCGGTGTTCTTCAGGAAAGCAACTATTGTATTATAGAACAGACGATACGTTTGTTGAACTTCTTCCGCACCGTCCCGAAGCCAACCATGCTAATCGGAGGTGTGGCGGAGGGGCAAAAAAACTAATAACAAAAAGCAGTCCTAAAGAAATGCGTTTTAAACGTAATGATTTAAAAGTGCATAGCTCCAGAGCCTTTCTAATATCGAAAGAGCGTTCCAGATGGTCGCAAAAGCGCATCTGAAAGGGCGCGATTCAGTGAAAGTGGATGGCTTAAGAGTATGTAACATGTCAGGTACACATGAACTCACACCCCTACATTCCTGGATGTCTAATCTGTGTTTCAGCAGCCTGCGATGAAAAAACTCAGTTGTCAAAAGAAGCGGGTTGATGGTCTCAGCCCAGCCACCAATGAACACGCAGAAATCATTGTATAACATTTGAATTTTCGATAATTGTTTTTTTACCCTTTTATCTGGCAACAAAACTGACACCTTTTTTACAAGGAGTCATGTTTACATTGACCACAATACCTGCGGTCGGAACGCAAACAAAAAACAACAACTCTGATAATGTATGTGGCACTGTCCTTGAAATTTGATTGGTCCACACCCGAGACAGCTTTCTTTAGAGCCTGGTCTCACATGGTGTTGGACCAGAAGACGCCAAAAGGCGCACAACTCAAAGACAATGCACCATCAGAGTATGAGAGCTCGGGGTTAAGCATTTACACCATTGGAAACCTCATTTGCCAGTAACAAAATATAATTGTTTTTTTTACCCTTTTATCTGGCAACAAAACTGACACCTTTTTTACAAGGAGTCATGTTTACAAAAAAAAGGTGTCAGTTTTGTTGCCAGATAAAAGGGTAAAAAACCAATTATCATATTTTGTGACTGGCAAATGAGGTTTCCAATGGTGTATTTGAATTTTCATTTTATTTAGTGTAAACCATCGGTGAAAAGTTTTGGTTGTATTCATGTGCAATGAAAACTCTTTTTGGAGAACAACATTTGGGGAAAAGGCGGCTTCCTGGGTGACAAAAGTAGTTACGCGTGACGTCACCTTCCTTCACATCACAGTTCTGTGTGCTCCGTTGTGGGCACGTTTGGCTCAGGCAAGTGACGCAAATGGCCACACACCTTTGTGAAGTGACACACCGAGAACATGGCAGCTGGACAATCAGGGGAAATAAGCGACGCGAGCGAAGTCGTGTTCATTACGAGGTGAATTAACGTCCCCTGCCTCCCCTCTCTCTCGTCTTTAAAACCAGGGTAAGGCCCCACTGAGCTGTGTAGCTCTGTTTCAGAAGCCACGTGGTCATCAAAAACGATAGCTCGACGAAGCGGGCCTATCGTCGTCACGTGGAAATTTATCGCAGCAGGCAAATCACTCGAAACGTGTTGTGTTGATTCTAAACGTGGAGGGGGAAAAAACCGGAGGACCCGGACAGAAAAATCCACGCGACCACGGGAAGAGAGGCACGCACACTCCAAATATACAGCAGGCGTCAGGGGTCGGGATGGAACCCACGGCCTCCTGTATACCAGGCGAGGTAGTTAACATCTCATAGCCACTGCGACGCCCGTTCCGGAGCTCCTAAAAGTCAGCAGAGCCTCGCGTCATCACCTGAGGGAATGGCCACGGAAGATGACTCCACAGAACGATTTCAAGAGTAGCCTCCGCTTCGCCAGACCTCTCCGAACTCAACACCAAATGACACTCCGTCGTGCTTTGTGCTTCGCCGTGTGTTTAATCGGTGCTGCAATAACTGAGGTTTGATTATTATAATCACTGCCACCAAACTTCTTATTGACTGCCTCACCTTCATTCGACCCGACTATTGGAATTATTTCACGATCGGTCTACCATCCCTATGCCTTCAAACCACCCCCAACAAATTCAAAACGTCACCGCCCGTATGATCTTTAATCTTCCCTTCCGTTCCCGCAGATCGCCCCTCCTCGTTCAGCTACACTGTCCTCCCCCCTTATTATCGTTGCCTCTTTAAATCCCTTACCTTAGTTTATACATCTCTCCACGGCCTGGGCTCCTCCCCCTTACCTCTATTCTCTCATCTCACTTTACATTCCTGCCCCGCTCCTCGGGCATTCTAAATCTTCGCCGTCTCTTTCTGTTCCTCCTCCTCCTCCTCCACCTCCTCAGTGTCGCAAAGTCCTCGGTTTCGCTCGTTCCCTCTCCTAGCCCCCTCTTCCCTGGCATCAGCTGCCCCCGCACGTCAATCATCACTCTCTCTCTCTCGCTGACCTTCGGCTCCTCTCTTAAACCCCACTCGTTCCCTCTTGCCCCATCCTTCCTTCTCCTCTAGTTGTCCTCCCCACTTACACTAACGCAGGCCGTGTCAACCCATAGGGTTTAGCCCGTATTCATGAAGAGGGAAATGGAGTTTTCAGGTCCATAGCGGTGTACAGCCATTTCAATACGGGCAAAAATTTGTTTTGTCTATTTGTTTGTGTTTCTCCCTTGTGATGGGACTTTGAAGGATGAACGTTGAAATTTATAAGGGCACGGGGTGACCAATAAGTCATGAATTTATCTGTAATAAGGTAGGCGCTGACAACGGGTTGGCAGGTAAGGGGATGACAGGTAAGGGGTTGACAGGTAAGGGATTGACAGGTAAGGGATTGACAGGTAAGGGATTGACAGGTAAGGGATTGACAGGTATGGGGTGACAGGTATGGGGTTGACAGGTAAGGGGTTGACAGGTAAGGGATTGACGGGTAAGGGATTGACAGGTATGGGGTGACAGGTATGGGGTTGACAGGTAAGGGGTTGACAGGTAAGGGATTGACAGGTAAGGAATTGACGGGTAAGGAGTTGACAGGTATGGGGGTGATGGGTAAGGGGTTGACAGGTAAGGGGTTGACAGGTAAGGGGTTGACAGGTATGGGGTGACAGGTATGGGGTTGACAGGTATGGGGTTGACAGGTAAGGGATTGAGAGGTATGGGGTGACAGGTAAGGGGTTGACGGTAAGGGGTTGACAGGTATGGGGTTGACAGGTAAGGGGTTGACAGGTATGGGGTGACAGATATGGGGTTGACAGGTAAGGGGTTGACAGGTAAGGGATTGACAGGTAAGGGATTGACAGGTATGGGGTGACAGGTATGGGGTTGACAGGTAAGGGGTTGACAGGTAAGGGATTGACAGGTAAGGAATTGACGGGTAAGGAGTTGACAGGTATGGGGGTGATGGGTAAGGGGTTGACAGGTAAGGGGTTGACAGGTAAGGGGTTGACAGGTAAGGGGTTGACAGGTAAGGGATTGACAGGTATGGGGTGACAGGTATGGGGTTGACAGGTAAGGGGTTGACAGGTATGGGGTGACAGGTATGGGGTTGACAGGTAAGGGATTGACAGGTATGGGGTGACAGGTAAGGGGTTGACGGTAAGGGGTTGACAGGTATGGGGTTGACAGGTAAGGGGTTGACAGGTAAGGGGTTGCAGGGATGCTAACGCTGCCTTCCCTGTCCCCAACTCCCCACGGTCACCCACCATCAATCCACCACCCGTCTCATTTCCATCTTCGTTTGTTCCACGCATCGTTACCACCACCACCACTTCATTTTACATAGATCCCATTCACTCATCTCGCCAACCACCTTGTACCACACGGTTAGTCCACTGTGCAGCACCTTAGTTAAAGCGCTGTGTAAATCTATGAGATTACAGGAAAATACTTGCGAACGCATCTCACCGGCATCGGCATCTTCGTGTTTAACCGTCAAGTGGGGAAACATCTCGCTGCTTGCGTTCTCTTCATTCACGGGCTTCATCGATAACACGGCTCCTTGAATTAAGCGAGTAAATTATTATTATTGTTGTTGTTAAGAGCTTTGGGGAGGGGAAGGAGGGAAAAAAAAACCGATGGTCGGTAATTACAAAGTGCAGCAAGTGCTTTGGAATGTTTTTTTTAAACTTTGAGTGTTTTGACCTGCAGTGTTGTGTGTGTGTGTAGGTGAGTGAATGATTGCGGGAAGCGGTGGTGCAGTCGTGAGCGTGTTGCTCGCTACGAACCCGGCGACCCGAGTTCGAGTCCCGCTCACGGCACAACACCGGTGACGACTATCTGAACCTGTCGTGGGCCTCCCCTAGGTCAACTCAGCCTCAAATGAGTACCTGGTGCGGTGTGTAAACATCGCCACCGGGGATACAAAGGCGTCCAGGCGTGGTGCTGTTGGCCACCCACCCCCTCGTGTGCCACAGTGAGTGGGTGTTGTGGATGAGTGGGTGTTGTGGATGAGTGTGGTGGTGTGGTTGAGTGTGGTGGTGTGGATGAGTGGGTGTTGTGGTTGAGTGTGGTGGTGTGGATGAGTGGGTGTTGTGGATGAGTGTAGTGGTGTGGATGAGTGGGTGTTGTGGATGAGTGGGTGGTGTGGATGAGTGGGTGGTGTGGATGAGTGGGTGTTGTGGATGAGTGGGTGTTGTGGATGAGTGGGTGTTGTGGTTGAGTGTGGTGTTGTGGATGAGTGGGTGTTGTGGATGAGTGGGTGGTGTGGATGAGTGGGTGTTGTGGATGAGTGGGTGTTGTGGATGAGTGTGGTGGTGTGGATGAGCCGGTGGTGTGGATGAGTGGGTGGTGTGGATGAGTGTGGTGTTGTGGATGAGTGGGTGGTGTGGATGAGTGGGTGTTGTGGATGAGTGTGGTGTTGTGGATGAGTGTGGTGTTGTGGATGAGTGGGTGGTGTGGATGAGTGGGTGTTGTGGATGAGTGGGTGTTGTGGATGAGTGTGGTGGTGTGGATGAGCCGGTGGTGTGGATGAGCGGGTGGTGTGGATGAGTGGGTGGTGTGGATGAGTGGGTGGTGTGGATGAGTGGGTGTTGTGGATGAGTGGGTGTTGTGGATGAGTGTGGTGTTGTGGATGAGTGGGTGTTGTGGATGAGTGGGTGTTGTGGATGAGTGGGTGGTGTGGATGAGTGGGTGGTGTGGATGAGTGGGTGTTGTGGTTGAGTGTGGTGTTGTGGATGAGTGGGTGTTGTGGATGAGTGGGTGTTGTGGATGAGTGGGTGGTGTGGATGAGTGGGTGTTGTGGATGAGTGGGTGGTGTGGATGAGTGGGTGGTGTGGATGAGTGGGTGTTGTGGATGAGTGTGGTGTTGTGGATGAGTGGGTGTTGTGGATGAGTGGGTGGTGTGGATGAGTGGGTGTTGTGGTTGAGTGTGGTGTTGTGGATGAGTGGGTGTTGTGGAGGAGTGGGTGTTGTGGATGAGTGTGGTGGTGTGGATGAGTGGGTGTTGTGGTTGAGTGTAGTGGTGTGGATGAGTGGGTGTTGTGGAGGAGTGGGTGTTGTGGATGAGTGGGTGTTGTGGATGAGTGGGTGTTGTGGATGAGTGGGTGTTGTGGTTGAGTGTGGTGGTGTGGATGAGTGGGTGTTGTGGATGAGTGGGTGTTGTGGATGAGTGGGTGTTGTGGATGAGTGGGTGGTGTGGATGAGTGGGTGTTGTGGATGAGTGGGTGGTGTGGATGAGTGGGTGGTGTGGATGAGTGGGTGTTGTGGATGAGTGGGTGGTGTGGATGAGTGGGTGGTGTGGATGAGTGGGTGTTGTGGATGAGTGGGTGTTGTGGATGAGTGGGTGTTGTGGGTGAGTGGGTGTTGTGGATGAGTGGGTGTTGTGGATGAGTAGGTGTTGTGGATGAGTATGGTGTGTGTGCTGTTGTGGACAGCGGGTGCGGTGAGTCAATGGAAGTCGCTGTGATCTGCAGTATGTACGCGCTAATGTATAGTGTAGTGTATAGTGTTGTGTATAGTGTTGTGGCTAGTGTAGTGTACAGTAGTGGCTGGTGTAATGTTCTAAATCAAACCAAACATTAAACTAATTTTCAATGGTACAGTTTATTTATTCAAGTAGTGGTATCCCAAACTTTCACAGCAACTTATTTCCCTTCACACTAACATTATGTAAACTCTCCTTCCCCCACCGTGCCGGTCCAGTGCATCATTGTTATGCTACATCATTGTTATGCTACATCATTGTTATGCTACATCATTGTTATGCTACATCATTGTTATGCTACATCATTGTTATGCTACATCATTGTTATGCTAATTCCTTTGTCAAGGCGTTTTTTGTTTCCTCCCGCACAGCTTAAAGGACGCGACCTGGGCTTGGCTGTCTTCACTCCAACGCTGTCCTCTGGACAGTCCGGTCCCTTCACCTGATGAAGGCCACTTGTGTTGTGGCTGAAACGTCGTGATTTTTTGTTATTTTATTTTTACCTACGTGACTTTACCGAATAGAACCAAAGAGTATGTAGTGTATAGTGTTTAGTAGTGTATAGTGTAGTGTATAGTAGTGGCTAGTGTAGTGTATAGTGTTGTGTATAGTGTAGTGTTTAGTAGTGGCAAGTGTAGTATATAGTGTTTAGTAGTGTATAGTGTAGTGCAATATATGGTATAGCATATAGTGTAGTGTATATTGTTGTGTATCGTAGTGTTTAGTAGTCGCTAGTGCAGTGCATAGTGTTTAGTAGTGTTTAGCAGTGTATAGTGTAGTGTTCAGTAGCGTATCGTGTAGTGTATAGTGTTGTGTATAGTAGTGCATAGTGTATAGTGTAGTATACTAGAACAGTACTAGTGTATAGTGTAGTGTATAGTGTAGTGTATAATGTTGTGTAGTGTAGTGTATAGTGTAGTGTATAGTATTGTGTATAGTAGTGCATAGTGTAGTGTATAATGTTGTGTAGTGTAGTGTATAGTGTTGTGTATAATGTAGTGTATATTAGCGTATCTCGTAGTGTATAGTGTAGTGTATAGTGTAGTGTATAATGTTGTGTATAATGTTGTGTATAGTAGGGTGTAGTGTAGTGTATCGTGTAGTGTAGTAGTGTATAGTGTAGTGTATCACGTAGTGTATAGTGTAGTGTATAGTGTAGTGTATAGTGTTGTGTATAGTAGTGCATAGTGTATAGTGTTGTGTATAGTAGTGCATAGTGTATAGTGTAGTGTATAGTGTTGTGTATAGTAGTGCATAGTGTAGTGTATAGTCCAGTGTATGTATGTTGAGCTTCTTTTGCAGCGCACATTGCCAACCGTGTTAATCGGAGTTGCCGGGGAAGTGCCGGGCAAGAAGTTCGGTGGTCGAAGGACGGAGTGTGGGGACGCCACGACCTCAATGGCTGAGTCGATCTCACGGGGGTCGAAGCCAAGCCCACGGTAGTCGCGATAGAAGAGCGACAAGGAGGCGACTGACCAGCCGGTGAGCGAATGTCTCTGACTATGTCTCTGTGCGTGTCTCTTTGTCTCCGTGTCTCACTGTCAGTGTCTCTCAGTGGCTGAGTGTCTCTCACTGTCAGTGTCTCCGTGTCTCTCTGTCAGTGTCTCTCAGTGGCTGAGTGTCTCACTGTCAGTGTCTCCGTGTCTCTTTGTCCGTGTCTCCCTGTCTCTCTGTCAGTGTCTCTCAGTGGCTGAGTGTCTCTCTCTGTCAGTGTCTCCGTGTCTCTCTGTCAGTGTCTCTCTGTCAGTGTCTCCGTGTCTCACTGTCAGTGTCTCTCAGTGGCTGAGTGTCTCTCACTGTCAGTGTCTCCGTGTCTCTCTGTCAGTGTCTCAGTGGCTGAGTGTCTCTCACTGTCGGTGTCTCTCAGTTGTCTCCGTTGTCTCTCTCACTTCGTCAGTGCCTCTCAGTATGTCCGTGTCTCTCTGTCAGTGTCTCCGTTGTCTCTGTATCAGTGTCTGTCACTGTCAGTGTCTCCCAGTGTGTCCGTGTCTCTCACTCCGTCAGTTGTCTCCGTTGTCTCTCTCACTGTCAGTGTCTCCGTTGTCTCTGTGTCCGTGTCTCTCACTCCGTCAGGTGTCTGTCCGTGGCGTCTGTCCGTGGCGTCTCCACAGGTCTCTCGTCCCATCCCACCCACGTATCTTGCCTTTCAAGCGACAAGATGCGGCACAAGACATTAAGCGTTTCTGCTGCAAGATGCGGCACAAGACAATAAGTGATTCTGCTACAAGATGCGGCACAAGACAATAAGTGATTCTGCTACAAGATGTGGCACAAGACAATAAGTATTTCTGCTACAAGATGCGGCACAAGACAATAAGTGTTTCTGCTACAAGATGCGGCACAAGACAATAAGTGTTTCAAGCGACAAGATGCGGCACAAGACAATAAGTGTTTCTGCTACAAGATGCGGCACAAGACAAGTGTTTCTGCGACAAGATGCGGCACAAGACAATAAGTGTTTCTGCTACAAGATGCGGCACAAGACAAGTGTTTCTGCGACAAGATGCGGCACAAGACAATACGTTTCTGCGACAAGATGCGGCACAAGACAATAAGTGTTTCTGCTACAACATGCGGCACAAGACAATAAGCGTTTCTGCTACAAGATGCGGCACAAGACAATAAGTGTTTCTGCTACAAGATGCGGAACAAGACAATAAGTGTTTCTGCGACAAGATGCGGCACAAGACAATAAGTTTTCTGCTACTAGATGCGGCACAAGACAATAAGTGTTTCTGCTACAACATGCGGCACAAGACAATAAGTGTTTCTGCTACAAGATGCGGCACAAGACAATAAGTGTTTCTGCTACAACATGCGGCACAAGACAATAAGTTTTGATTTAAAGCTTTCGTGACTGCAGTAATTCATATTCTTAGTTTTTTCGGTAAAGTCACGTTGAAGAGAAACAACAAAATAATAAAATATATATAAAACATTAAAAAATTCTCACGACGTTTCGACCATAACTCAAACGGCCATCTTCAGGTGTGTTGGTTTGCATAAATTTATTTTAAACGGCGCATTTATTTATTTATAAAAAACGTTAGCGTCACGCGCAGCGATTTGGCAGTTTACCCAGGACTAGTCCATCTATATTTTGAAAAGAGGAGGGGGGAGATGAAATTTTTTATAATGTATGCTGTCTGAAAGCCACTGTAAGCGTGAACAATCAATTAAGAACTGAAATGGTTTATCAAATCTTTCCAATGATTGCTAAGATAGAATCCATCTTCTCGGTTGAAATTGTCTCTGTGCTTGTATATGTGGATAGCCTCATGAACGAATCTCTCATGGAAGCCAGATGGCTTACAAAGAACCTCTGTCTTGGAAAAGTCAATGGCATGTGAGCCTACTGAATTAGAACAATGATCTGCTACGGCCGAGGTGTTGGTCCTACCGTGTTTAAGGTCTGCTTTGTGTTCACGAATGCGGTCTGAGACATGGCGTTTGGTTTCTCCAATGTAACTACTACCACAGAGGCAACTTAGTTTGTAGACACCAGGGTATTGTATGTCCGGAATCACATCTTTTACAGACGGAACCAGATCACGGATTTTATGTAATGTGTTGAAACGGGCCTGGATCTTGTGTTTATTCAAGATTTTGGAGATCTTTTTTGTGATCCCAGCAATGTAGGGTAAAGTGATGGTTTTGAAAGGCTCCTCAAGAGGGTTCTTCTTCATGGTTTGAGTGATAGCTTTGCGGATTGTATAGTCGGAGTAACCATTAGCCCTAAGAGCTTGGTGTACGTGCTTGAGTTCACTGCTTATGTGTTCCTGGTCGGATATGCATTGGGCTCTATGATACAGAGTCTTGATGAGAGAATTCTTCTGTGATGGATGGTGGTGGGAATCCGGTTTCAGATAAGCATCCGTATGGGTAGCTTTCCTGTAGACAGAGTGGCTCATTGAACCATCAGGTCTCTTTTTAATTAGGACATCCAAAAAAGGTATCTTGCCATCTATTTCGACTTCCATGGTAAATCTGATGGCTGGGTGTATGGAATTGATGTGGTCGAAGAATTGGTCTAGAGCAGGCCGGCCATGTGGCCAGATGACAAAAGTGTCATCCACGTACCTCTTCCATAAGGTTGGGCGCAGAGTGGCAGTCTGGATGGCGTCAGTCTCAAATTTCTCCATGAAAATGTTAGCTATAACTGGAGAAAGGGGGGGGGCCCATTGGGGTGCCCTCAGTTTGTTTGTAGAAAGTTCCATTCCAAGTGAAGTATGTATTGGTTAAACAGTGTCTCACCAGGGGGGGTACCTCAGTGTTTAGTCCTTGATGAATCAAGTCTTCAATGATTGCAATGGTGTCATGTACAGGAACCTTGGTGAATAAGGAAACTACATCAAAACTGACAAGCAGGTCGTCTGGGGACAGGGAAATACCCTTGATTGTCGATACCAGGTGAGTAGAATTTTGTACCGCAGAGGTGGTCTTTCCAGTGAAAGGACGCAGGATTTCAGACAAAAAACGAGCTAGTTTGTAGGTGGGGGAGCTGATAGTAGAGACTATGGGACGAAGAGGTGTATCAACTTTATGTATTTTTGGTAAGCCGTATAATCTTGGTGGCCTGGCAGCAGAAGGTTTCAACGAAAACTGTTTAGATTGATCAATTAATGCGGTTGAATCAGAAATTATTTTGTTGGTTTGTGTGACGAGGCTGTTGGTGGGATCTCTTTTTATTTTTGTATAACTACCATCGTCGAGTAATTCTTTAATTTTGTTGTTGTATTCTATTTTATCCATGATGACAGTAGCATTGCCTTTGTCAGCTGAGAGAACTACAATATCATTCCTCTTTTTTAATTTATATAATTCAAAACGCTCATCTTTGCTGAGGTTGCTAGCTGGCATCTTAGCGTTTTTGAGGGTTGCAGCGATTTCAGATCTCGCTACGTCTGCAGCGATGTGACCCAGGCCCCTGAGAGCAACGTCTACTTGGGCAATTATATCATTAACTGGTATGTGTTTAGGTGTGAATGCAAAGTTTAGACCTTTAGCTAAAACGGATTTCAGACCATCGGAAATAGAACTGTTACTGCGATTAATTACGACTTTGTTAACGTCTAACTTTTTGTTGTGTGGGTCCGATCTTTTGTTGAAGAGGTTAAATTTGGAAATCAGGTTTTCCTTACATTTGGTCGACATAGTAGCAGCTGAAGAGGCAGTCATATTGTCTACATGTTCCCAATCCGATGTGGACATTGTTGCCGTCAATGTAAGTGTGATTTGTAGAGTGTCTTGTCTAACTGATCTAGTTCGGTGCGTATAAGTCTGATTTTTTCTGAGATAAGAGCTAAGCTAGTTTTGAAAAGAATTTGTTTCGCATTAGAAGAAGTTACAGCAGCAGAGGTCAGTGTAAATGCGATTGGTATTACCCCAGAGTCGCGGCATCTCTTCAGGAAGGTGAGAGACTCGATCAGCTGAGCTTTCTTATCCTGGAGTTTGTTGAAGGATCTTAAAGTTATGTGAAAACCCTCCCCGTAGAGGCGATTAAATTTTGATTTAAAGCTTTCGTGACTGCAGTAATTCATATTCTTAGTTTTTTTTCGGTAAAGTCACGTTGAAGAGAAACAACAAAATAATAATATATATATAAAACAATAAAAAATTCTCACGACGTTTCGACCATAACTCAAACGGTCATCTTCAGGTGTGTTGGTTTGCATAAATTTATTTTTAAACGGCGCATTTATTTATTTATAAAAAACGTTAGCGTCACGCGCAGCGATTTGGCAGTTTACCCAGGACTAGTCCATCTATATTTTGAAAAGAGGAGGGGGGAGACGAAATTTTTTATAATGTATACTGTCTGAAAGCCAATGTAAGCGTGAACAATCAATTAAGAACTGAAATGGTTTATCAAATCTTTCCAATGATTGCTAAGATAGAATCCATCTTCTCGGTTGAAATTGTCTCTGTGCTTGTATATGTGGATAGCCTCATGAACGAATCTCTCATGGAAGCCAGATGGCTTACAAAGAACCTCTGTCTTGGAAAAGTCAATGGCATGTGAGCCTACTGAATTAGAACAATGATCTGCTACGGCCGAGGTGTTGGTCTTACCGTGTTTAAGGTCTGCTTTGTGTTCACGAATGCCGTCCGAGACATGGCGTTTGGTTTCTCCAATGTAACTACTACCACAGAGGCAACTTAGTTTGTAGACACCAGGGTATTGTATGTCCGGAATCACATCTTTTACAGACGGATCCAGATCACGGATTTTATGTAATGTGTTAAAACGGACCTGGATCTTGTGTTTATTCAAGATTTTGGAGATCAATTTCAACCGAGAAGATGGATTCTATCTTAGCAATCATTGGAAAGATTTGATAAACCATTTCAGGTCTTAATTGATTGTTCATGCTTACAGTGGCTTTCAGACAGCATACATTAATTAAAAAAAATTCGTCTCCCCCCTCCTCTTTTCAGAATATAGATGGACTAGTCCTAAATAAACTGCCAAATCGCTGCGCATGGCGCTAACGTTTTTTAAATAAATAAATAAATGCACCGTATAATTTTTTTTCATGCAAACCAACACACCTGAAGACGACCGTTTGTGTTATGGTCGAAACGTCGTGAGAATTTTTATTGTTTTA